ATCAGCCCTGGAAGGGCTCAAAAAGCTATGAAGGCTAATGTTTTATCTTAAAAATTTGTGAGAATTTTGCATTCCACTCCAAAGAAATACAAATAATGCTTTTTCCCTCCCAAATTTTCACACCATACTTAATCTGTTATTTCTCAAACACATGATTGGCAGGTTCTCTAAATCCACGTTGAGGTGTATGTGAGCAAGTTTTCTTTATTACAAACTGGTGGCATCTATATGATTACTCCATTCTTGTGAATCAAATATCTGTTCATGGATAACTTTTAAGTAGAAACTTCACACTACCTGTGCCAACTCAATTACATAGGATAATCTAACTGTGTTTATATTAAATGCCCAACTGTCTGAAAATGAAAACTGTAAATTTTAGGAGCTTTCTTTCATTCACAGGTAGAAGTAAACAGCATTACTTCTTCTGCTTTAACAAAGGGCTCATAAACCAAGGGGGGGAAGCACTAGGAATGTTCTTCACCCAAGTGTTAATAGTCTTTACTTCATGTATATTACCATTTTCAAATTTTACTTACTGAATAACCTAGTCAGGCAGTTCATTCATTAGTTAGCAAGTGCTTAACAGACTATACAATTTTCAAAACCAAAGAGCTAACTACTGAGATTTTATTATGTGCAGAAAATGCTTCAAGAAATTTATATCTATTAACTTATTTAATCTTCACAAAAACCCTATGAAGTAGGTATTACTATTATCTTCATTTTACAAAGAAAGAAACTGAGGCACAGAGAAGTTCAGTAACATGCCCAAGGCAACAAACCAAAGCAGCCAAACAGGGCGAAGGGTAAGGGAGTCTGACTCCACAGCAACATTCTCAATCCTGTCATATGTTACCTCCTTGACTTCATGTGCTGTATAGCAAATTATAAATAAGATCATATCTATGGCCAGTGAATTTCTAAGTTGTAAAGTTCTCTTATGGTGTACATTCCCTCATCATGCTAAGCCTTGTGATAGAATCTGGTCATACCAAGTAAATCCTGGCTCCCAGTCTCAGGAGAATGGAAAAAGGTACATGAACAATTAATTACAATACACTATAATTTGTGTTGTTAAAAACAGACCAAGAAAGGTCACCTATCCTCATGGCAGTTGGCTGAAATGGCATGGCTTCACTGTCAGACTAAAGACGACAAGAACATTTCAACATCCACCAGTTTAAAATGTGACCTATGACAGGCTTTATGGTCAGTTTGTGGATTGCTGATAAGCCAAATCACAAGCCATGTTGTTTTTTAAATGATATCTTGAAATGCTACTCATTAATAAAGAGTATTAAGGGGCGCCTGGGTGGCTCAGTTGGTTGGGCGACTGCCTTCGGCTCAGGTCATGATCCTGGAGTCCCGGGATCGAGTCCCACATCGGGCTCCCTGCTCAGCGGGGAGTCTGCTTCTCCCTCTGACCCTCTGACCCTCTTCCCTCTCGTGCTCTCTATCTCTCATTCTCTCTCTCTCAGATGAATAAATAAAATCTTTAAAAAAAAAATAAAGAGTATTAAGCATGAACAAAAGATACCACTGTGGGTGTGGGTATGTGCATGCATGTGTATTACACAGATACACTTGTGCTGGTGAAGATGGGGTAGGAAAGTTAATTCTTAAATTTCAAGGACACATCCAAGAATATTTGAGTAAGGAGAAATTTTAGGTAGCTTCTGTGAAAAGCAAGCCAAGATAGAAAAATTGCAAAAAAGGACTTCAGACAATTTTAATGTAGGTCAGGAATGATCATGACAATAAGTTCACCTAATGTGTAATTCTGCTGATAATCCTGCTGATGGAAAAAACAAAGGTGCAAACAAGAATCATTGCTGGCAATCGTATCATATGATGCCAGGATCTTATCTATGTATTTATAAGGAGGTCACACTGAAAACATAGATGGAAAACACTAACACCAAATGAGTCAATCTGGCTTAACTCGTTTGTAGCACAGAATTGGGGACACTTACTTTGGACAGTTTTATTAGACAATCAGAAATAAGATGTCATAAAGAATGGCTGTATTGGTAGAGTAAAATATGGAAAATGAAAGGAGATACTCATAGGCATAAATACTAACATCTTACAGAGATTAAATTGATTTAAGTCATTTATTCATTCAGTTATTTATTTAATACTGGCTAATTTAATATCAGTTATTTATATAACTGATAATAATTTTACCAAATGGAAATTCCATTCAATAAAAAATGAAAATGTAAAATTAAAAGAAAGCCTAAGTCTGGAAATTCATAACTCTAAGAGGCAAGTGATGGCTTATTAAATAATATGCTAACAGCAATGATTTGGCTTTTAAAATTACATTTTTTTTTAAAGATTTTATTCATTTGACATAGAGAGACAAAGCAAGAGAGGGAACACAAGCAGGGGGAGTGGGAGAGGGAGAAGCAGGCTTAACTAAGAACATCTTCCAAAATAAAGCAAAGTTCATGAATAGTTGTAGACAAAAAAATAAATCTAGATTAACATGGAATAGTTAGTGGACTATAGGAGAAGAAAACAAAATGTACATCTCTGTAACATACAATACCTACACTGTTACACTGCATTACAAGTCCATTAAAAAGCTTAATGCAAATTTTATTAGAGAAATAAGGCTATCCAAAGTTGACTGCCTTAGAATAACGGCCATAAATTATGGTGTCTAATGCTCCACCTAACACATTTAACATGATCTGCTAGACTTCAATTCCACTGATGCCTATAAGGAAAGGGAGACAGTAAGATAATGCAAACTCTTAAGTTATACCCTTGTGAAGAGGAATAAGGAAAGTTCTTAGTTAACACTTCCTGAATACACTGATTTACTTCCCTTAGTGAAGGGCTTCTGAAAGCACCTTGGTTCCAAACAACTGGCTTTCATTCCAGGTTCCAGTGACTCAGAATTATTTGTATTATAATGCCTTCCTAATAAAGGCAGAGATCAGACCTGACCAGTCCTCCAAAATGAAAGGTACCCTTTACATCAATTACAGTCTAGGAGAACAGAAACCATAAGTCATGAAAACAGAAAAATGAATACAGGAAGTTGGTTACAGAGAGGGTAAAAGATATGGTAAGTGATCAAGAAGGAACTGAGACAACTGGACATGAGTAGACACCAGGAAGGAACTACCATTCCTAGGCTAGAGAGACAAAAGGAAGAAGCAGTGCTACAAGAGTCCAGGGCAGAGTCACACAGTGGACACTGGAATTATGACAGACTTGTCCAGTGGGAATTGGAGTCACAAAAGAAATAGCTTCTGCCAGCAATACAACTAGAGGCAAACAGAAGCAAAGAAATGCCCTGACTTTTCCCTTTCTTTAAATCTCCTATCAGTGTTTCCTGTTGGGTTTCCCAAACCCCACGGAAGATGGTTGTCCTTGGAGCCTAGAAAAAGCAGCCTGCAGAGCTAGCCCTCCTTCAGTACAGAAGCAGGCAGAAGAGTGTAAAATGCACCTGAGGACAAATAAGCCCAAGACCAGCACAGCTTTTCAATAAAGTTCATATTGTAAATGTGACGATCTCATAAATTCACTCAATCCAGCTAATTTTTTATTATACCAACTGCCTCTAAGATTTTAATTGAATATTAGTACTTCTAGATCATCTTTCAGATTTTGAAATGAAAATTCCTAGAATATCAATATCTAGAAATATAATTCTGCTAGGCAGGTCAAGAACTATCCAACTAGTTATAATCAGATATGGAAAAACGTTCAACTGAGATGACAGAAAGTTTAGTAAAGTCTGTCTCAGTTTGCTTGTATCCTAATTTGGAGTAATTCAATAGATGCATTTTCCAAGAAAAGTAAAATGGTCCATGGAGAAATGAGCAGGTCAGCCAACATTTAGCACACACTATTTTAACATATTGCTGAGTAAATGCCTCAAATGTGCTTCTTCAAAGCACCTTTTTGTCGTCCTTAAAAAGATGCTGGATTTTTAATTATATGTAACTACATCCGTATCTTTTCACCCAATTCATAAAAGAAATCAGAGTGCTAATACAAATTCTCTGGTATAAGAAAAATAATGACACTGTGATTAAAAATTATTAAAAGCCAACCCTACCATAAAAAAATCAACATACTGTTTCATGTACAAAAGAGTAACTGCTAACAACAGTGACTGTCACCGGCTCTAGATTGAAATTTACTTATACATTAAATCTGAACATTTCAAAAGCTCCCTAAAATCCCTGCTATTTTGCTAGAAGTATTGCTATGATTATTCAAAATTTATAGATAATTATAAAGCATAATGCATTTTTCCAACATTTTTTGATAAATTCATTTACTGAAAATATATATATCAAATACAGGTTTTTAAAAAAAGACTTTAAAATTCTCCAAAAACTTAAGAAATCTTTATCTGGAAATGCTAACTTGTCTTCATCAAATTGGCATATCAACAAGTTAAATCAGTTGTCAAATACCATTAGTTTTACTTCATATACATTTAAAAATAAACATTCTGTGCCCTGACTTATGATTTCGAAAGCAAATTCTAAAGCTATAAACGTATCTTAATTTTATTATTTTAATCACGCTAATAAATTCTCTTTTATGTGATAAAGAACACTGACTACATGGCCTGACATAAGAAAGATAGGACATTCAGTATTAGAGCAATAGTGGCAACATCATGTTAATTTTGATGAAACAGTCCTAATAAGTCCTTACTAGTCCTCACAGCTTTTCAGCAAACATATTTAGATCTCCACAAATTTAGAAAATAGAAAAACAATAATTCTTTATTATGATTTTAAAAGTAAAAAAGCTAATTTATTCTCTTTTTAAAAAGATTACAAACGGCCAGTAAATAAGTGCCATATCAGAATAAACTACCATAAAAAGATTGTAGCTGTTTTTAAAATAATGCCATTATTCTGACATTTATCAAACATAATTAAATGCAGAAAACTACTACCTTATTCACTGCTTTCTTTTTTTTAAAACCAACACAAGTAGTTTTTTCTGCAAACACTTACCATCCACTCAGATATAATAACATCTACTTTTTCTACAGGAAGGCAAACTTCTTCAATCTTTCCTTTAATTAGTATAATAGTATCTTCAAGTTTATTTAGTCTGAAAATTATCATAATGAAATAAATTAGTATGTTAAACAGACTCAGAAAACTAGTTAAATTACGTAATTTGTTGGTAACGGTTCATATTATTTTGTATGTTCAAAATTTGTTTGATTATTCCCTGAACACTAGAATTACTTTTGATCACTTCATAAATGTCCAAGAATGTTTCTGATTAATATGGCAATACCCTGAACCCATATTGAAAACTTCAGCCTGGAAAAAATATGAATTTTATCAAGAACACATAATAAAGTTATTGTTTTGTTTTAAGGGAGGGGTGGAAAGAGACATACAGACCAGACAACAAGAGTACATTTTAAAGGCAAGCAGTGTTTCACAGTGGAGAGAGAACTAAAAGCCAGAAGCTCTTTATTTGAACTCTAGATCCCCTTGTAATTGTCAGTTAAGTGATCTTCATCAAATTATATCATAATCTTCTGAGCCAGTGTACTCCATGTGTAAAAGAGAATGATGATGCCTGACCTATCTACTTCGCAGCTGATTCTGAGAATCAAATATTTGTGAAAGCAGCACATATTTCCTCAAAATATTACATGCTGCATAGAACCTATCTACTACAATCTTAAATTATTTAACCTTGTCCACTGACACTCATTAGGTATTTTTATATGCTTGATCTAAGACTAGCACATATTTTCCACCTTCCTTTTTAAAATGTGAAATAGACAACAGTTAAGGAGATAATTTCAGAGTTAAAAGCAAGCTGCTAAGTTTTTATCTAGTTAAAATAAACTCAATCCTCAGAGGATATACATCTAAATTACAAAGGATTTTTTCTACTAACAAAGGAGGATCTTTCCCCAATTTCACTGAGGTATTATTAACATAAAATTAAATGCATTCATTTAAAGGGTAAATTTTGTCGACTTTTACAAAAGAGACATCTGAGTGACTGCTATCATCATCAATATATAGAACATATCTACCTCCTTGAAAATATTCATTAGCACTCCTTCCCAGAAAATCCTCCTGTTCACAGGCAAACATTGATTTTCTTTCTTTCACTACATATTAGATTTGTATTTTGTAGAGTTTCTTATAAATGGAATCATAGCAAATGTACCTTTTTGTGTGTGGTTTGTTTTCAATACTTTATAAATTCATGCATACTTTTGTGTATATCACTAGTGCATTCCCTGTTGTCGCTTAGTATTCCCATGTGGATAAAACAATTTTGTTGATCCACATACCCGTGGATGGAATTCTGGATTGTTTCTAGCTTTCGGTTATAATGAAAAATGCTACCATAAACATTTGTGTACAAGTAAAACTGATCTGTCAAATGAAAGTATCTAACTTTTAAAGAAACTGTCAATCTGTTTTACAAAGTGCATATACAATTTTATATTCCACCAGCAATGTATATGTACATTCTTGTTGCTTCACATCCTTGTCAACACTTAGTATTGTTAAGCTTTTAGATTTTAACTGTGTGATGAGATCTCATCATTGTTATAAACTGCATTTTTCTAATGATCAAGCATTTTTTCCCATGTGCTTATTGGCCATATCCCTACATTGCCTTTTATTCCAATTTTTTGCCCATTTAAAAAACCAAGTCAGTTGTATTCTTATTATTGAATTTTAGGAGTTCTTAACATTCTAGATAAAAACCATCTGAGATTTGTGTGTAGTAAATGATTTCCCCATTCTGTGGCTTTTTAATTTTTTAATGGTATATTTTGAAGAGCTAGTTTTTAATTTTGACAATGACCAATTAATATTTTTTTTTCTTTTGTGGTTCATTTTTGCCTACATGAAGTCTTTTCACCTGTATTCTTCTAAAACTTTTGTTTCCATTTGAATTAATTTTTCCACATAGTATCATGTTCATTTTCTTCCATAATAATACCAACTGATATGGTGGAAAAACTATTACAAGGGATAGTTTCAACTTCCCTGAAGAAAAAGAATCACTAACCCAAAGGATTACTTTGGTATATTTGTCAAAAATCAATTAACCATATATGTGTAAGTTTATTTCTGGACTTTCAATTCTGCCTCAACATTTAAATATGCATCCTTATGTCAATACAACACTTTGATTACTACAACTTTAAATTAAGTCATAAAATCTGACAGTGTACATCCTTTAACTTTGTTCTTCTTTTAAAAAATTCTCTTAGCTACTCTAGGTCATTTGTGTTTTCATATGAATTTTAGCATCAGCTCTTGGTAATGTAATGCACTTTTCAGTGCTAATATCTTAGACATACTTTGTTAAATTTACCCCTAAATGTTTGATGACTTTGGTTGTACTGTAAATGCTATATATTTATTTAAGTTTCAATGTCTACTTGTTTGGGACTACTAATAAAAAGTATAAATAATTTTCATATTTTCACCTTAAATCTTATAACTGTGGGATTTTTAGTGGTTATTTTATACATTACTTTTAAAAAAATTTTTTTATTGTTATGTTAATCACCATATATTACATCATTAGTTTTTGATGCAGTGTTCCACGATTCATTGTTTGTGCATAACACCCAGTGCTCCATGCAGAATGTGCCCTCTTTAATATATACATTACTTTTTTTTAACATTTTACTCCTTTATTTTCTTTACAGTTAACATAAAGAGTTATATTAGTTTCAGGTGTACAACATGGTGATTTATTTTATAAATTTCTTAGGATTCTACATGTATATGATTATGTCATTTGGGAGTCATGAAAGTTTTACTTCCTTCAAATCTTTTATTTCCTTTTCTTGGTTTATTGCACTTTAAGTTAGATTCCCCAAGACAACAGTGAATAGAAGTGGTGAGAGTGTACATCCCCTACATTCATTAACTGTTATCAAATATGACACTACCTATCTTTATCAGGTAACAAAGGTCCTTTTTTTGCTAGTTTGCTGAATTTTCCTTATGAGTTTCAAATTTTCACAAATAATTTTTCTGCACCTATTAAGATGATTCTACAGTTTTTCTTTCTTTTCTGTTAATATGATAAATTATATTGACTTTCAAATGTTAAACTTACCTTGCCTTCCTAAGATAACTCCACTTGGTCATAGCTTATTATCCTGTTTATAAATTAATGGATTCAATCTGCTAATTTTCTGTTAAAAACATTTCCATCTCCTAGACTTACTATGGTGATTATTCTGTAATGTATATAAATGTCTAATCACTACATTGTACACCTGAAACTAATATTGTATATCCCCCCAATCTACTTAAATTAAAAAAGTATGTTTCCCTTTAAAAAAAAAAAGAAAATGGGATGCCTGGGTGGCTCAGTCAGTTAAGCCTCTGTCTTTGGCTCAGGTCATGATACCAGGGTTCTGGAATTGAGTCCCACATCTGGTTCCTTGCTCAGCAGGGAGCCTGCTTCTCCCTCTGCCTGCCACTCCCCCCTGCTTGTACTCTCGTGCTCTCTCCCACGCTCTCTCTCCGGCAAATAAATAAATAAAATCTTAAATTTTATGTTCATAGGGATGTTCATCTGCGTTCATAGGGATACTGGTCTGTAGTTTATTTTCTTGGAATATCTGTTTGACTTTAGTATTACTGTAATATCAGCCTCATAAATTATGTTGTGAAGGGTTCTGTCCACCTCCAAGAGTTTAGTATTACTTCTTCATTAAACGTTATAAGAAATTTGCTATTTGGGCCTGCAGTTTAATTTGTGGGAAGGACTGTAATTACCAACTCATTTTATTTATTTATTTAAGATTTTATTTATTTGAGAGAGCGAGAGAGAGAGAGCCCAAGTAGGGGGAGAGGGAGAAGCAAGCTCCCTGCTGAGCAGGGAGCCTGATACAGGGCTTGATCCCAGGACCCTGGGATCATGACCTGAGCCAAAGGCAGATGCTTAACACAGTGAGCCACCCAGGCACCCACCAACTCATTTTATTTACTAGATCTAGGTATATTCAGATTTTCTAGTTCTTCTTGAATCAATTTTGATAACTTTCATTTTTCAGAGTATTTTTCCATTTTACCTAAACTGTCATTATTTATTGACATAAAGGTGTCTGTAATATTCCTTCATTATCCTTTGTCTAGAGGATCTATAGTGATGTTCCCATCTTCAATCCTAATATTGATAATTTGTATCTTCTCTTTTCTTCTCGATAATTCTAGTTAGAGGTTTATTAATGTTATCTTCTTTAAATAAATTTCATTTTCATTAATTTTCTCTATTGTTTTGTTTTGTATTGCACCGATCTCTGATCTTTACTTTCTTTCTTGGGTATATTTCACTCTTCTTTCTCTGCCATATCTTAAGATGGAAGCTTAGATCACGGATTTTAAATGTTTCTTCTTTTCTAATATAAGCATTTAAAACTTTAAATTTCCTCGAGTATGGCTTTAGCTGTATCCCACAAATTCTGATACACTGTGCTTTTTTTTTTTTAAAGATTTTATTTATTTATTCATGAAAGACAGAGAGAGAAAGAGAGAGGTAGAGGGAGAAGCAGGCTCCTAAGGAGCAGGGAGCCCAATGTGGGACTTGATCCCAGGGCCCTGGGATCATGACCTGAGCCGAAGGCAGATGCTTAACCATCTGAGCCACCCAGGCGCCCGATACACTGTGCTTTTAATGCAGTTCAAAATATTTTATAAATTCTTTCTCTTGTTATTTCTTCTTTGAACCACGGGCTGGTTATTTAGAAGTGTGCTATTTAACTGCAGCACAAGTGACAAACAAACTTTAAAATATTTACTATCCGGCCATTTACACAACAGGCTTGCCAGCACTTGCTTTAGAGCACTACAGAAACATAGCTAAGACTATACAGTGAGAAGATCTAGAACAGAAATAAATGACGTCACAGAAAGAGAACAAATAAAAATCCTTGAAGAAATAAAGGATGAGGGACACCTTCTTTGTGTACTCTTTGAAGATTTTGTCTTTGTTTTTGATTTATTGAAGTTGTACTGTAATGCATGGATTTAAAAGAAATTAGTCTTAGATTCTTTGGATTCATCTATGGCTTAATGCTTTTTGTCAGTTGTAGAAAA